ATTAAACTTTTAAACCAAAAACTATAAAGAACGTTCTTTGAAAACCACCCTAACATTGTGTATGCAACGAAAAAAGCAATGAAGTCGAATTTTGTGAATGAGCAGTTTTTCCTATTTTCTCAACATTTTAACTTTCTGGACTTGCACGGTTATTGCATTGGACCCCTCTCAATTGCAACAAATATTGACATCAACTATAGTATACATTTTTGACTTTGGCATGTTTTTGTTTAGTTATATAAACTAACCTCACTGGAATATGAAACAATTATCAATGATCTATGTACCATTATATTTTTTAATGGTAAATTTTCCCTAATTTTATTGGTATAATGAGGAACCTGATGTGGAACCTTTTAGGTTTTAAGGATCCATTGAATTAAACAAGACCTAAAAAGTTGAAAATGTATAAAAATATTGTGAGAAGCTATAAATGGTAATAACAATGACTAGAAACCGAGGTTGTCAGATAGTTATTGGTGGGGCGAGCTTAACTTTTGCCATCCACTAAAGCTGTCACACAAAGTAAGAATGACATGCGTGATACAGGTGAGAAGGATAGTATATAGTGTGCATTACTACACCCGATTCCTTAACTAAGTTGGTATTTCTGCTTAGTGGTAAAATGAAACACCACTGACATATACTCAAGAGTCAAGCGATGTTAAAAGCACATAGTTTTATGCAAGTACACTCAAAGCTTGTGTGGGACTGTTTGGAAGCTGGGTAATTAAAACAGACCTGACTTAGCTTGAGTACCAGGCCACAAAGGACATAAGGGCAATGAAGAGGATGATTTATTAGCCTGAGAAAAAGCCTCAAAGGCTCCTTTTGGTTTAGAACTCTCTGTGTAGTTACAAAGATAACCATCCAAACATGCACCAAGCATTGGGTATTAAAAAATCTCACTTGCAAACTTTTTTGCAATGATTTGTAAAGTGTAATAATGACAGCAATTTCTCTTGCACTCAACAGGAATTGTCGCAATTGTACTAGCAACAATGAAAATTGAGAAATCTTAGAAAAACGTTTGACGTTTGTCTCTGGACATGGCTTTTTAGTTTTTAGCCATCTAGTGGCATACTCAAAAGAATTCCCATCAATTTTTCAGTATTTCTTTTAAAAGCTGTGCGACTGACTGTCTCTAAGATATAGCCTTCCGCACCTATTTGACTGCCCTATACAAGACAAACAATAATTTATTGACATTAATATCCCGATTTACCTAAAACTTTATTGTAGAAAATTCCCTAGAATTAATTAATTAATTTTTGGGTAACGATCGTGTATGCATTTTACCTTATGTAATAAAAGTGATGAAAAAAACAATATAGTGCTTACTCACAAAAAAATTGTGATATACAAAACGAATTTGAGATACATATTTACATCCTTGTATGTAGATAGAAATATCACATTAATAAAAACATCAATCAGTCAAAATTTTGCATCATGGATTTTGTTTTACCTTGCTACAATATAAAAAACGATAAAGAATAATTAGTAATCAAACAAAAATGTAGTACCATACTTCTGCAAAAAAATGATTTTAAGAAATATACTTATTTAATGACACATTTTGGTTTATTTGTTGTTTAGAAAATTTACTTTCCTCATTCTATTTAAATTAAACAAATTTATGATTTTTAAAATAGTACGAGATAAGGCATTTGAAAGTTCTTCCTGCATCTGCTATTTTGATTCATAGTTCACATAAAAGATAGTACAAAAACCAATAAATCATATCGAGGGCCACAATGCAGGACCTTTTGACTAACATTTCCACTGAAAATTATATTTTAAGATAATCTCGTTTAAAACATTTAGCTCCAAGTATTTCAATTTTTGAACAAAACAGGTAACTATTAGTCCTATTATAGAGTAAAATAGATTGTTCAATGCATTTTGTGATTCGTTTTTCTTTATCTCCTGAAAAATGTTGATTTTGCGACTTACAAGGTCCTGCCTTGTGGCCCTCGGTAACTAGGTTGCTAATCAATTTCCTTACCCTAACATCGATTCCATATCAATTGGCGCCCAACGTGAGGCGAGATATGAATTGAGAATATCATAAGGTAATCATTTTTGAGAATTAGTAAGGCCCTTTTTACATGTTTTTATGCCAAATACGGCAGCAAGTGAAATTGTGTGAAAATTTTCAGTTTAAATTAAAATTTCATTTTTAAATAGTAATCTGTGCGATTTTGATTTAGATTAAATGAAATTTGAGAGGGGGAACAGGATTGATTCAGGTGAAGGTGTAGATGAATCAGTTAAATAGTAGAAGAGCAGAAGGTGAAAAGGATGATCAAATTAGGATTATGATGGAAATGATGAGATTAACAGAGTAGGAATATGAATAATAATATGAAGAAATCAATGAAAGAGAATAGGAATGTTAGTGAAACTATAATGAGAGCAATGTTCGAAAATATAAGGAAATAGGAACGTTAAGCCTTGTTCAGGATAGGAGCGTGACGATGTGATAAGAGTTGCGTCGAGCAACGCGTCGTTGGTAAAACCTAGTGTTACCAAACACAAACGATCAGGGTGAGAGTGACCATCGATCCGATATCTGAAATATAAATCGCGTCGCTCGACACAACGCTATCGCATCGCCACGCTCGCGTCTCCTACTCTGAACAAGGCTTTAGGGGAAAAGATTGAATAAGATAGGGATAAAGTGACTAAGAAAATAGAGAAAATAAGGGAAGATTGATAACAGGATAGAAAGCATGAAGAGTAGAGATTGGATAAAAGTAGAATAGAGTTGATACAGGAAATAGATAAAGTGGCCACAGGTAGAGATTAAAAAAATACCAAAAAGATGTCGGAAAAGAAATTATCAATAAAATAAAGGATGACAGGTATAGTAAAAATTCTAATTAAATGAGTGAAAGGCATGTCAGAAAGCAGTGATTTCTATGGAAGAACGGATGAACGAGATAGAGTGCTAAGGTGGCAAGAAATTTAGTAGTTTTTGTATATTTTATATTAAATATATTTTTTCAAAATAACAGACGAGGTAAAACTTTCTAAAGCCCGATCATATAAACTGGCATTGAGAATTAATGTTGGCTTTAGAAAAAAATTATTTAGATATTTTTGCATCGCATTAGTCTGAATTTGGTTATATATTTTTTTTACAAATTAGATATCTACTGGGTTTTTAAATTTAAATCTACATTATATTTTTTTATTTATAAATAATAATACACTATTCGATTTCTTTTCCCTCTTACTTTCTTATAAATTAAACTTACCAATCAAATTTTATATAAAACTTTATTAAATACTATATTTAATAAAATCGGTGATATTTTTTTTAAGTTTTAAATAAATATCACTCAACTATGTACCTACCTTGCAGTAATGTTATGTAATTGATAAGAATTCCGAAGTTTATAAAATACAAGAAGTGCCATGCTGATTTTTATAAATCAATGTTTTATTAAAAGATCGTTACATCAAATATGAATTTGATAGTATGTTCGATTTCCATGGACACATTCCCTTAAAACTTCCACCCTATCGTCCAGATTTGAATTCCATTGAGATAATTTGACGGACAGTAAAAATAGTAACCCAACTTTTAAATTGGGCAGATTTTTCTATAAAACAGCGTAAGATGAACTCATGAAGAATGCTCTAAAAGACTGGAGGAAATATAGTTGCCATGTCATATAAATTCAATTTAAAAGTGAAATGATTATGAATCGAGTACACCGACACAATGGTCATAAATGGTTTTAATGAAAAGCGGTAAAATTTGGAGACCATTTAGAAAACGGGATAATATTAGGGGTAATTTTGGGTAAAAGACAGATAATTTTTGGAAAAGTAGTAATATGAAAGGCAAACGTATTAGATGGGGTAACATGACCAAAATATACAGAAGGAAAACTTAAATATATAACAAAATAATACGAGGGCACTTTCACTCGAGAAAACTACTCCTCTGATTATGTGCATCGCCAGGTATTAAATTATGTCTAGCACGAAAGAGACAAAAAGTGGAACCAACAGAACCGAATTTAAACGTCATCAGTTTTCGACTAGGTATCTAAAAAAATCAGCATGGCTTTTGTACTTTAAGAAAATTACTGTCCTAAATCCGATTTTTCACAGTATATGCAATAAATTAAGGGGACAAACCTTCGTCGACCCAATCTCTATAATCTTGTCGTTAACAGATCATAAACATTGTTAAAAATATACATATTTTTAACCACAATATATATGTTTAACCATTCTGTGCAGGCACGAGCCAATAGTAACAAAATATTATTTAAAACTTAGTTACACTAGATGTAACAAATCATAAGCCGAAGATTCGAGACGCCAAGTTTCACACAGGTGTCCGAACAGTTACTTCACTCGATATCAAGCCACATAACATTCATTTATTCAATTTTGTGAACTTTAATATTCTTGAGTCGAGCACATTATCTTAAAACAGTCCACAAGACTCAGGGATTCATCAGATGAAACCACAAAAAGAAGTAAATCATAATGAACCAGCGAATAGAAAAAAACCTCTATTCAAACATAGAACTCCTTAAATATTATAAATTAAACCAGTACATCACATCAACAGCTGACCTAGATTTGACACATTTTACACTAGATGGGGACCAAATAAGACTAAAACAAATTCGAGAAGCCAATGGACTTGAAATTTTTCATGTCATTCAGCCCATCTCAGTCCTTCCGAAGTGTCCTCTATTATTCCACCACTAGTCACACCAGCCACTATGGCTGCCTAGTACCGTAACTCACACCTGTATATGGTCGGTGAGGATTTATAAGTGTTTCTTGATCCTCTCAATGCCCAATATTTTGATAGAGTCCACGTAGGTATCGCCGCCCTTAAGATATTCACAAACTGTACCATTTCTGTAGGTACATTTCTTCCGAAATTGGAAAACAATAAATTCTACCTTCCTTAATTAAAAAGAAAATACTTTTTTTAAATGTTTAGTATTCACCCAAATACATACCTTTTGATAATGCACTTAAGAAAATCTTTTCGTTCTCGTTCTATAAACCAATCGATTAGGTATCCAGTCATTAACGGTGCTTGCTGATAAAGCGAAAAAAATTTGTGGTAATTACCCGATCCCCAAGCCGAACGAATTTTTAATGCGAACGAAATGCAACGATCAGATTTTTCGTTGCTGTTTAAATATTTCATTATAGTCATTATATCTAAAAAAAAAAAAAAAAAATATATAGATTTTAGTGAAAATTGTGGATTAATCTAAAAATGCAACTTAGTCAGAAAATATGAAATCAAAAGAAAAAGTAAATACAGGGTGAGGCACCGGTAACGCCTCCGTGTCTGTAGAGCCTAACGCCTTTGTAGAGCCGAAACTATTTGAATTTTTTAAAATCTGTTTTCACAGAGAGATCTATTTCAGAAAAGGAAACAATTTAAAATTTATTTCAATTGTACAGGGTTCTCAAGGAAAGTGATACATATCAGTTTTTTTAATTTTATATTTGCATTGTTCTCGATTTTCCCATTATAAAATTTTTAAATAGTATGGGATTACACAGGATATTTTACAAGCTATAACCAGTTTTATAAATCGTATTGATTTCAATGACCTATATAATACAAAAGAAAATTTTAAACCAATTTTTTGGAGTTTTTCGATGTTAGTCAATATTTATGCTAATACACTATTTTTCTGAATTCGAAACAAATATGTGCATCATTTCCTCAATTTTTAATTGACCACCTTGTATCATCTTTCAAAAATATCCCAATTATGCTTTCATTTGAGATAAGCATTCCCTGTACCCAAAGTTAATAATAGTGGGAGATTTTAAATTTAAGACAAAAAGATTATTCTAAGTTTATTATATTTTTAGTTGACTTTAGGTTTGTTCCAACAACAATCTTACATGAACCAATCCACAATTTATTGTCAACGACTAATAATCGACGACCTGTCAACGACTATAATAGTCGACGACCTGTCAACGACTATAATAGTCGACGACCTGTCGAGTATTGGGGCTCAATTTGGAACTTGGATGTGTTGGAACACATTTTTTGTTGTCAAACACGCTCTGTCAATAATGTCAATGTCAAATCAAATTTAGCAATGTTAAATTTTGAACTTGGGAAATAAAAAAACTTAAAAAACTCATTAAGTTTTAAAAATTTTGATTATATGATAAGTCAGATTAATAGTGCTTTTCATTTTCTTTACTCATTATTAATAAGTCAGCAGAAAATTATCTGTGCTGTGTTCAAATAGATTTTAGTACTGGAAAAAGTGCTATTTAAAAAATGTTTTTAATATAAATGTGAAGCTGAAATACTGTGCTATAAACTACGTTGCAAAACTAAAGTAAGTGCAATTAAAAATCCACGAAATTAATGAAATTCCTAATTGAATCAAGGAATTTCATTGTGCAGTTTTTTGTTCGCTAAATATAAATGACCACTTTTTGCTAAAAATATATTTCCAGTGGTGTAGTTAAAATCATTTGAATTAATTTTAATTATCAAAATGAAATGTAATTCATGTGATAAACCGCCTGATAAAGGTAGAGAAACTTTTCCATGTGATTACTGTAAAATCGTTAAATGCAAAACATGTTTTGTGCTCACTTCGTCCGAAGTGAAAGTAATGGAATTAAAGAATGAGAGAATGTTAATTCTAGCCTGCAAGAAATGTAGGAAGGAACCTTTATGTGATATTATAGATATCAAGATAAATGCGGTGGAAGCTAAAATTACAGAAGAATTTAAAGAACTAAAGAGGATAATTAAAGAACAAAGTGAACAACTGAAAGAACAGAATGATCAAATAACGCAGTTACTAGAAATATCAGCAATAAGTAATGATAGTTGCGGTGGTACTAAAACTTATGCAGCTGCAGCAGATGCAAGAGAGGTCATTATTGTAAAGCCCAAGGAGAAACAGGAAAGCACTGTTACCAAAACTGATATTAGAGACAGTATTGATTCGACAAAAATGGCCATTAGAGTTGAGAATATCATAGAAGGAAGAGAGGGATCAGTAATCACTAACTGCAGTAATGCGGGTACAAAAGAAAAAATAAAAAATAAAGTAGAGAGTGAATTTGGCAGTAAATATCAAGTCGAAGATGGAAAACAAAAAAATCCAAAAGTTATCATCTGTGGAGTGGAAAATGAATATATAGAAGGAGAGGATGAAGATATCTTGAGCGCTCTAAAAAATCAAAATGATTTAAATCTAAACCTAGACTCAGTAATGAAAATCATAACGAAGTTTAAACAAAAAAATAGACCAAACAAGGGAAATATTATTCTCGAGGTTGATGTAGATCTAAGTAAGAAAATCTCTGATTATGGACATTTGAATATTGGTTGCTTAGCAAATGAATATTACAATATTGTCAGATACTTTAAATGTGGTAGATATGGCCATACCCAATCAACATGTCAGAATAGTATAACATGTTACATTTGTGCAAAAGCTCATTACAGCAAAGAATGTAATAATACACTAGGAAAGAAATGCATCAATTGCCTAGAAACCATCAAAAGGCTGGGAAAAACTTTGAAAACTGACCATTGTCTTGCTGATCCTGAATGTCCTTGTTTCAAACGGCTTGCAGAGTTAGAAATTAAAAAAACCAAGAAGGCGTAGCAACCAACGGAAGATAAAGAATCCACTAACGATGAAGAAAAAAGTGTGCTTTTTAGTGTGTTTCATCAAAACGTTGAATGCATATCTACTAGTATCAATCAACTAAATGTATATGTTAGCGAACTACAACCTCAATTCGTAGCAGTTAGTGAACATTGGCAAACTGTTCATAGTATTGAGGCATATCTCCTTGAAAATTACAAAATTATATCATATTTTTGTCGGTCAAACGAAGCTGCTCACGGTGGCGTAATGTTATATTCTCGATGTGATCTCATGCCCATTATAAGAAGTGACATAAATGCTCTGTCAGAAGAGTATATCTTTGAATGTTGTACTGTTGAATTTGTATTGATCTATCGGCAATATGTATTATGTATCGTTTACAAGCTCCCTACAACTAGCTTAGATATTTTCCTAAATTCATTGGACCAAACGTTGGAAATTGCCTCACAAGGAAATAACTACATGCTGGTTGCAGGAGACTTTAATATAGATATGCTAAGTAAATCGAATTTAAAACACCAGACCATGTTAAAAAACATGCTAAACATTTATGATATGAAAGTTAGTATTTGGGAACCAACCAGAGTTCCACCGACATCATCTACTTGTATTGATAACATTTATATATCTCAAACTTTAGAATACAGTGCGAATGTCCTAAATACAAATCTTTCAGATCATAAAGGTCAGGGTTATGTGTATTGACTGAGAAACAAAAGCCGGAGAATGTAACTGATGTAAAGCATTGTTTCAGTAAACAAAATTATGATAAATTTTATGAGTTACTGCAGAAAGAAACTTGGCTATGTGTGTTTGAAGTAATCACTGTAGATAGAACGTATAACTGTTTTATTAAAACTTTCCTCCAACACTTCAACGAGGCCTTCCCATTGAAGAGGGTAACGCATCAAAAACATAAAAAGAGTAAATGGCTGTCTAATTCCATTCGCGAGGCAAAAAATACTTTAAATTTATTTTCAGAATTGTACATACAAAGGCTTATTAGGTAAAGACGATTTTAACGCATATAAAAGGTATTACTCTAAACTGCTGCTATCTGAGAAAAAACATCTTTACAACAAAAAAAAATCAATGAATCAGATAATAAAATAAAGGCTATTTGGAACGTTATTAATACGGAACTGGACATGTCTAATAAAAACTTGGCTACTTTCAATGGAATTAAAATTGATGACCAAATTGTAACTTCTCCTAAACAAGCCTGCAATAAATTTAATAATTACGTCAAAACAGCTGCTTTGAAAATTCTAGGTGACCTAGATATGGACAATGTAGATATAAATAGAATACAACAACATAATCCACAATCTATATATCTAGCAGATGTGACAATAGAAGAGCTATCGAAAATAATAAAAAAATTAAAAAACGAGTTGTCAGCAGGTGAAGATGATATTCATAATGTGCTTATTAAAAATGTTGCTTCATATATTCTTGAGCCTTTATGTTACATAATAAATAATTCCTTTCAGAAAGGTGATTTCCCATCAAAACTAAAATCTGCAGTGGTGAGACCTATTCTAAAAAAAGGATATCCATTCCTTATGGAAAACTATAGACCTATAAGTTTGCTAACCAGCTTCTCAAAAATTTTTGAAATTGCAATGAGTAAACGCCTTACTGTTTCTTGCTACGAATGGAACCTCTACTCAACATGGATTCCAAAGAGGAAAATCTACAACTACAGCAATTTTTTCCTCTGTAGAACGCATTCTACATCACCTAGATAATGGCTATATTGTGCATGGTGTATTTCTAGACTTGTCAAAAGCCTTGGATTGTGTAAACCACCATACTATTAAAAAATTATACGTTATAGGCGTACGTGGAATTGCATATGATTGGTTTAAATCATATCTGAACGCAAGGTCTCAAAAAGTCTGTATGAAAACAAATAGTGGACTCTTTTTCTCAGAACAAGAATCGATACAATACCACAAGGAAGTATCTTAGGTCCTTTGCTATTCCTCCTCTACATTAATGACCTATCAAATGTGATAAGACTTGTTTTCTGTAACACTAACAAATTATGCAGATGATACTATCATTTTAATAGCCAGTACCGATTATGAAAGTCTGAAACAAGATACCATGCACATATCATCAATAACGGCACAGTGGTTTCTAAAAAAATTCTTAGTATAAAAATGTCCAAAACAAATTGTATCCCGTTTAAACACAGCAGAAATAACGATTATGAAAATACTATAAATCTAAACAACATGGAAATTAATTATGTGAGGTCTGCAAAATTTCTTGGTGTGATAGTAGATGAGAATTTGGGATGTTCTTGTCATGTGGACAATCTCTGTGGTAGGCTTAGTAAGAGGTGCTTTGCTCTGAAAGAATTAGCTAAAGTTGTAAACCAAAACACTTTGAGATCTGCCTATTTCGGACACTTTTATTTCATTATGTGTTACGGAATCATCTTCTGGGGAGGTTCTTACAATTACGTAGTCTTTGTGATACAAAAAAGAGTATTGAGAATATTAACTGGGTTGAACTTTAGAGATTCCTGTCGACAATCAA